GAGCAGCACCAATTATTGAAGATCCACTCTTTTTCTAATGTATATTTTTTGCTTCTGTGTCAAAGATCATGTGTCCATAAAAGTGTGGTTTTATTTCTGGATCTTCAAATCTATTCCACTGATTGAACTGTGTACCAGTACCATGCATTTTTTATCGCTATTGCTCTGAGTACAGCTTGATATCAGGGTTGGTGATTCCACAAGAAGTTCTTTTATTGTTAAGACTTGTTAACCTATCCTGGATTTTTGTTTTTCTGTTATGAAATTGTGAATTGCTCTTTCCATGTACTTGAAGAATTGTGTTGGAATTTTGAAGGGGATTGCATTGAATCTGTAGAATGTTTTTATTAGGATATCAATTTTTACTATGTTAATTCTCCAATTCATGAGCATTATAGATCTCTCCATTTTCAGAGGTCTTTGATTTCTTTCTTGAAGACATGAAGTTCTTGTCATAGGTATCTTTTAATTATTTGGTTAGAGATACCCCAAGATATTTTATAGTATTTGTTATAGTATTAGTATAGTATTGGTGTTGTTTCTCTAATTTCTTTCTCAGCTCATTTATCATTAGTATAAAGGAAGGCCACTGATTTATTTGAGTCAATTTTATACCCAGACACTTTGCTGAAGTGTTTTATCAGGTGTAGAAGTTCTTTGGTACACTTTTGTGTGTCTTATGTTTACTATCATATCATTGGCAAAAAGTGATACCTTGAGTTCTTTGCCAATTTGTATCCACTTTATCTCTTTTTGTTGTCTTATTTCTCAAGCTAGAATTTTGAGTATTATATTGAATAGATACATGGATAGTGGGTATCCTTGTCTTGTCCCTGATTTTAGGGGGTTTTGCTTCAAATATGTCTTTATTTAATTTGATATTGACTGTTCGTTTCCGATGTATTGCTTTTATTATGCTTAGGTATGGGTCTTGAATTTCTGATTCCTCCAATACTTTTTAACATGAAAGGTTACAGTATTTAATCAAATCATTTTTCTGTATCTAAGGAGATGATCATGTGATTTTTTTCTTTGACTTTGGTTGTATAGTGGATTATGTTAATGGATTTTTATTTATTGAACCAACTTTGCAAACCTGGGATGAAGCCTATTTGCTCATGGTGAATGATTGTTTTGATGTGCCCTTGAACTCAATTTGCAAGAATTTTATTAAGTATCGATATTCATAAACAAAATTAGTTTGAAGTTCTCTCTTTTTTTTGTTATGTCCTTATGTGGTTTAGATATCAAAGAAATTGTGGCTTCATAAAATAAATTAGTGGTGGGAGCCAAGTCCTAGCAGAAGGCAGCTATCATCCTTGCAGCCATCTCAGGCCGTATACCCTGACAAGAGACTTGTTTTCAACAGCTTACAACAGCTGAGCACACTCTGACAAACATTTTGTTTTTCCTTCATATCTTGTTTTGTTGTTTAATGCTGCCAGCTGCAAATTTCACGTGGTAAAGTGTCTTCAGCTGCATTCCCCTGCTTGTGCTTATGTATACCCATGATTTCCTTTCAATAAACAGGACTTGATCACACACTCTGTCTTGTCTCCATTCTTTGTTTCTTTTGCCCCTCCATCCCCACTCTCTCTCTCTTTCTAGACCCTGTTGACTGACTTGCTGACCAGAGCAAATTAGGTAGTGTGTCTTCTGGTTATAGTTTATGAAATAGTTTGAGGAGTGTTGGTATTAGCTCTTCTTAGAAGTTCTGGTAGAATTCTTCACAAAAGCAACCTGGGCCTGGGCTTTTTTTGGTTAGGAGGTTTTGAATGTCTTCTTCTATTTCCTTAGGAGATTGCCATGTTTAGAAAATTTAGCTTCTCTTGATTTCACTTTTATATGTTGTATCTGTCTAGAAAACTGTCAACTTAATCTATATTTTCTAGTTTTGTTTAGTATAGGTTTTTGTAGAAGAATCTGATGATTTTTTTAAATTTCCTCAGTTTCTTTTGTTATATCTCCCTTTTTATTCCTGATTTCTTAATTTGAATACTGTTTCTGCACTTGAGATAGATTGGATAGTGTTTTTTCAAAGAACCAGCTCCTAGTTTTGTTGATTGTTTGTATTGTTCTCTTTGTTTCTATTTGCTTGATTTCCACCCTGAGTTTGATTACTTTCTGCTGTCTACTCCTCTTGGGTGTGTTTGCTTCTTTTTGTTCTAGAGCACTTAGGTATGCAATTAAAAGTGTAGGCTCTCCCAAGTTTCTTTACCAGGACACTTAGTGCTATGAATTTTCCTCTTAGCACTGCTTTCATTGTGTCCCAGAACTCAAGAAGTTCAACTCCAGAAAACAAAAGAACTCAATTAAAAAATGAAGTATAGACCTAAATAGAGAGTTCACAACAGAGGAATCATGGGTGAATAAGAAGCACTACAAGAAATTCACAAAGTCCTTAGTAATCAGGGAATTGCAAATGAAAACATGCCTGAGATTCCACCTCACAACAACCAGAATGGCTAAGATAAAAAACTCAAGTTAGAGCATATGTGGTCAAGAATGTTGAGAATGTGGACCACTCCTCGATTGATGGTGGGATTGCAAGCTGGTTCAGCCACTCTGGAAATGAATCTGGAGGTTTCTCAGATTTGGGAATAGGTCTGTCTGATGACCCAGCTATACCACTCTTGGTCATATAGCCAAAAGATGCCCCACAATCCAACAGAGGCATTTGTTCCACTGTGTTCATGGCAGCCCTATTTGTGATAGCCAGAAACTATAAACAACCTAGAAGTCTCACAATGGAAGAATGGATACAGACTATGTGGTACACAGTGGAGTACTAGTCAGCTATTAAGACCATGTGTATTGTAAGCAAATGAATGGAGCTAGAAAATATCATCCTGGGTTTGGGCCCGAGCATAGAGTAGGTCGCAGGCGGCAGCTCCGTACTCAACCCCAGAAAACCGAGAGAAACAGGGACTCCCAGGAGCTTGAACTCACGCAGCATCCCAGGTAAGGTAAAAGCAACACTCTCCCCAAACAAGGAGCAACCGGGACCCACTGGGACCCAGGAATTCGCTCCTGGCCCGGGGCGGGCTCC